AGGAACAGAGAATGGAACACGTCACATGCCTGAGACCAGCCCACCAAAAAAGGACAGTCAACACGGCATACCAAAGAAGACTCCCAGAAATGGAGGGGCTGAGGCCAGGCCAAGAGATAATGGTCAGCAGTGGGACCCAACCAGGGACATGAAGAAGGTTAGGAGACAGCATGTATAGGGCCTACGCCATTTATGACCAGATCCTCCTGGGAGCAAACCCAGCTCATATGCATCCAGGCTCGTCCCCATCCCTACCCTCAATGTCCCCATCCAGGTCACATGCAGTGGGGAGCCACCAAGAAGCCTTCCTGCCTTCTTCCAGCTCATCCCTCAGGCCCCTCGTGGGCACTGCTATACATCCATGCCAGGCATGCCCCCACCCACGGCATGGCTTCCAGCAACCAAAGCACGTTCCGATCCGTGGCAGGACTCTAGTCAACCCTTCTAGAGCCAAGGGCTCTAGCACTGATCACATGTTCTAGAGCTTTCTCTAGGCATCCAGAGATGAGAGAGAAACAACTCCCTATCAAGGCCCAGCTGTCACTTTGGAAGAATGGAGGTAGGGCAGGGGCCGGTGCTAAAGCCTACAGTTCAGCGTCATGGTCTCTCCTTGCTCAGCAGGCCTGTTTCCAGGGAAGCTGCTGAGCAGAGCCCACTAGGTCATGGGAAGGCCACAGGTCAGGGCTATCTCAGCTCCTCTACTCTCTCCATCACAGCTGTTTAGCTGCCTGCCTCCAGTCTGCCCAGGACGGAGCTCAGCTCCCAGCACACTGCAGGCCGGTTTGAACCAGCCAGGCTCAGAGGCCCCATCACCGGGAGCTCTGGCCAGAGGCACAGCTTTGGCTCTCTGTGCTGAGTGGACCAGGAAGCAGCACCATGTGGCCTGTCATCGTGCCAGGGCCAGGTCTAGCCCACTCACAGGACGGGGGGGAGAACCCCAAATTCCCCCTGGGACCCTCCCCCACAACCCATCATTGGCTTGGCTTTTTTGGGCTCTCATTTAAGACCCAAGGAAGGAAGACTTCTTCCACCTGAGGGGATCAAAAGGTCACCGGCAAGGAGAAAATGGGCTGGAGAGGGGACAATTCCTGAAGGGTCCCTCCAAGGCTGAGAGTCCATGGCAAGTGCTCCTCCAATTGGGTCAGAAGGCCTGTGGTATTCCTGAGCTAGGGCCTCTGGCCAGGAGGTTAGGCAGAGAGCCAGTGCCCTCATCCCAAAGAACTCAACCCACTTCCCTGCCAATGCCTTCTCTTTCCTCTGTCACCTGGGTACACCAGGGTCCTCCTAAGCTACGTCATGCCAAAGCAGGAAAGGATTTGGAGATCTAGAGGCGGGGGAAATGGCAACCCAGGTTAGCCCGGTACTGCTTACTACTAAAACGGCCCTCTCGCCCATGGCCCCCTGTTTGAGTAACAGAACAAAGCCCCATCAGCCATCACCAGTCCTATAAGTGCAAAGAAAGGTGACTGAGAACCTGTTCCATTCCTCAAAAGGATTCTGGGAGGAAGCCTATGAGAGGGGTGGGGGTGGGGAGAGAGACAGGTGGACAAAGAAGAGAGCACACTGTAAACTAATTCTAGGGCCAAGGTGTGGCCCCTGCTGCTCTGTGATGCCCATGTAAGATCCACCTGGGCCAAGTCCCCTCTCTGATGGCTGTGGCTGGTTAAGGACGGAGTCAAGCCAACATTCTGGATTCTCAGATGGTAAAAGGAGGGTGGACACACCTCCTGGAGTGCTGGTAGCCTGAGAAGCCAGGCCTGGTGTGGGTAAAGTAGGAAGGGGTGGGAATCTAACTTAAGGCATAGCATATACAGAAAGCATAAGGTCAGCCTGGAAAGAGAGGAGGGACCCAGACTGTGGGGTTTGATGCAGGTAGTTCACCCAGAGGAAGAAATGAGGGGAAGGGAAAAGAGGTGATCCACTCCTTTCAATTCTCTTCCAAAATGAAAGGCAAAGAGAGTTCTTTCAATAAAGAGGTAGAAGGTACATGACAAGAGCTTGAAGGCAGGTTTCGGGGGTGTGGCTACTAAAAGAATAGAGAAAGAGCTGTTGAGTGAAGAGGAAAGACCAGGGTCTCCCCAAGCCCAGGGAGCTCAAGAATGAGGGGAGCAGGCTGGGGGGAGGGGGGGGGCTGGGGGAGGGGGCGGAGGGAGGAGAGCGAAGGGGCGCGGAATGTGGGTATCTGTCACCAGCTTTCCCTGGGGGCAGCTTGAGAGGGTGAGCTGGGGAGTGCTGAGGTGGGGGCAGTGGGGAAACCCGGAAAGTAAAGAAGCGAAAGATTCCGATCTGGGAACAAGAGAAGTCAGTACAAGAAGCTGGTTAGCAGTAGGAAATAAAGTGCTAACAGAAGGAGAATGTAAAGCTTCCGAAGAGCCGCCGGTATCCCGACTGCTGGGCCCCGGAGCTCAGACCTGCCTTCCGAGGATACGCGGTGCCCAGGGAGGGGGGCGGCCGCGGCGGGGCTGCAGCCGGGCTGGGTCGGGGTCGGGCCGGCGGCCCTACCTGGTACACGGAGGCCTTAGGCAGGTCCAGGCAGACGGTGCAGCACAGCACCGAGTAGAGACGCTCCTCCAGCTTCCCGCTGCCCGCCGCCGCCGCCGCCGCCGCCGCCTCGGCTGCCTCGGCCGCCCGCAGCCGCTTCTTGGGCGGCGCGTCGGGGTCGCCGGCCGCCTCCTGCAGCTGCCGGGCGCCTG